CTTGCCAGGCGCCCCCCCCCCCCCCAGACTGACTGAGGGATGCCTTTGAAAGTTCAGAGGCGGTGATTGGTGAGCGGGAATTCTTTCAAGTGCCACGAGAGTGAGCCCGAACACCACTCGAGATCCCGATACCACAACTTGGACAAACCCTGGAGTCAACCTGGAATAAAATTAAAAACGGGTTTCCGGGAAGGAATACGGCTTTCTTCAAAATATTTATTCAGGCAATATGAAACTTTTATTTTTCTCACTACAAATATCTAACTTTCTCATATTACGCCCCTCCAAAGAGATACAACTTTATTCTTCAGATTTATTTTAATCAGAAAAAAATGAGATTCCACTTTATTTCCTGAAAAAAATCTACAGTAAAAGTTTTATCTATTTGGTAATATTCCACCTTGATTGCTTCAATAAAATACAACTCAGCAAAGACAGGAAAAAAAAGTTTTTAAAAAGTCGTGTCACAATATTTAACTCATGAATTGCCTCTAAGTATAAAACTGTAATGATGTCATCAAGGTTTGAATGCTCGAGTGTAGAGGGAGCAAAATTGTCAATATTTTATCAGACTGTTATTGAGTACTGTAATACAATTTAAATCTTATTCACCTTTAAAATTGCATACCTATCTTTGTGTATATACACGCCCATGTGTGTATGTGTATATATATATATATATATATATATATATATATGCATACATAGACACATTTTTAAACTAACTTGGTCCACCTCAAGGTTTCAAAACATTTTCCAGAAGTGCTTGATGATGTGTTTGGGTTGTCAAAGTGTAGTTGACACTGTTGTGCAGTACACGAAGCAGAAGTTTAAGTTGAGTGAGAGACAGACAGGCGGGTGCACTCACCTCCACCTTGTGGTGCAACGTGACATCAGACATCAGCTCTTCAAGCACACCACGCAACTCAGTACTCACACGTGTCCAAATGCAGCTTGCACCTTCCGAGTCTGGCGGCTGCACCTTTGGGCCAGTCATCTGACTAATCTGGTCAGGCAGAAAAAAAACAAAAGTGGAAAGTCACACACTTTAGTCTATAAAAATGGTGTTTCTTTTTATTCTGTTTAATTTGAGTCATTATTTGAAAAGTGGCAGACTTTTATTTTCAACCCGTCCATTTCCTAACGTGCCCACACTCGCAATGCATCTGCCTGAGCGATCCGCTGCGGCTCTCTCTCCACACCTCAAGGACAATGAGCAACCTCCCTTCAATCAACTGCACGTCCGACATCTCTCACTGAGACAAAAACTAAGTGCTGTGTACTCCACAACAACATGATCACACTCTTCTGGTCAAGTATATATATACATAGACACATTTTTAAACTAACTTGGTCCACCTCAAGGTTTAAAAACATGTGTAGTTGGCACTGTTGTGCAGTACACGAAGCAAAAGTTCAAGTTGAGTGAGAGACAGGCGGGCGCACACACCTCCACCTTGTGGTGCAACGTGACATCAGACATCAGCTCTTCAAGCACACCACGCAACTCAGTACTCTTACTTGTCCAAATGCAACTTGTACCTTCCGAGTCTGGAGGCTGCACCTTTGGGCCAGTCATCTGACTAATCTGGTCAAGCAGAAAAAAAACAAAAATGGAAAGTCTTACACTTTAGTCGATAAAAATGTTGTTTCTTTTTATTCTTTTTTTTAAATTTGAGTCAATATTTGTAAAGTGGCAGACATTTACTTTCAACCCGTCCATTTCCAAACGTGCCCACACTCGCAATGCATCTGCCTGAGCGATCCGCTCGCGGCTCTCTCTCCACACCTCAAGTACAATGAGCAACCTCCCTTCAATCAACTGCTCAACTCTTGAAAATACTCAATATCGTTCAACCCTCCACAAAAGAAAAACTGTCGAGATATGCCTAATTTTCTGCATCGAAGTCGGGAAACACAATTCGGCTTTAGTTTGTTTCGATCGAGCTTGTTTAGCCTTGACACGGAGGACCTTCACATTGTGCTGCCACATAGAAAAAAAAACCCCACTTGAAAAATCACAAATACATTTCAAAAACAAGTGAAAAAAAGTCACGGGTTCATTTGTGTGAATAGTTTTGAGACAAATCTGCTACCTGATGTGAAGCCATCACACTTCCACTGTTGACAGAAGCTTTGGTGTGGAAAACACAAATCAACATTCAAGTCAAACGCTCTTCTCGATTGCCTTTTGGTTGACAGCTGAGGTCTCCTTGTTGGCGGCGTGCTCGCGAACTGCCCCCTTTGCTGACGTTGTTTTTTACGATAACGACCCGTGACATAGTGAGTAACAACAAAAAAATTCGAGGAGCAACGTGTCGCAATTATGCTCCCCAATTGTCGACATCAAAACACTCACAGATAAACGGCGAAGTCAGTTTAAAATGTTAAAATTACTCACTGAGAAAAAGGCTTGTGGACAGCGGAAAAACTTGCTCATTGAACCGGATGTGATCCCGTTCTTGTGCTTGTTCTTATTCTTCTACTTGGTGAAATGGACGTCCTTCGTTCATATCGCCCCCTACTGTCCGGGAAACCACAAAGGCGTTTGGAATGCAATCTGAATCTAATTTACAGTGCTCGCCAAGCGTGCAAAAACACAAAAGGAATTGACTTTCCCTTTTTCAACTCGTCCAGAGGATCATAAACACAACGACAAAGACCAACATGGTGAGACAGCACCTGATAAAGGTGCCCAGAGAGTTGTATTTTTTCGGTGGGACTCTACTTATAAAGTTGAGAGCCACTTCAGTCGAAGTTTTGTCGTTCCTACTGGACACCAGCAGAAGGCGCCCTTACGTTTAGTTAAGGCCTTTTGTTGTGTTGTTTTGTTTGTTTTTAAGCGTTCACACCGTCGACGACGGGCGCGAGCCTCTTGCGAGTTTGCGGTCGAATTTGACAATGACTCTTACAGCTGTTAGCTGAGATTGGAAAGCGAGTTTATTGATTCCCCTTGCCAAAAGCGGGCCCTCTGCTGGAGTTTGAGACTGGTTCTGAGCCCGTCCAGTTGCGACGGGCTGCTCGTGGTGGCGGAGGGGCTGGGAAGAGACCGCATTCTGCTGGAGTTTCATGCGGTGGACTCGGAACAAGGAGGCCTGGTTCTACGACTAAACGCTACCACCCCTGAACAACTCAGCACCCCCGCGCAGCTCAACACCACAAAGAAATTTTGATCAGATTCAGGAAAAAATAGCATGCGGTAATTTTATACAATACATCTTGATTTCTCCAGCGCTCACACGACAGCTGTCATAAAGCGCTTGACAGAATTTTGGCAAATTATCCTGTGCCGGTCGGTTGGGGAATCGCCCCCCGCCCGCCGACACACAAGCCTCCCATTGACGCATTGTCGTAGTTGGGTAAACTTTGTTTTGGAAGTAGTGGTGGTGGTGGTGGGGTGGGGCATGTTGATCGATATACGGCGAATACTTTGAGGGGGAAAAGTTATGGGGGCCCTCAGAAAGTCATCCGATGTTTCCTCCCCAATCTGAAACGAAGTTTGATTTCACCGCGATCCTTTGGGTTTTGCAGGTTCTTCAGCCCCCGGCCCCGTTGGGACGAGCAGAGAGCACCCCGCAAGCATACAGACGAGACTTGCGTCTCAACTTTTCCAGCGGAGTTGCCCTGATCTAAAAAGCATCTTGAAACAATGAATAAAGTTGGCTTGCACGTTTGGAAGTGTGCCTATGGGTGTTTTATTTGCACTTTATTCACGATCGCCAAGAAAGCAAAATGACAAAACGACACAATCTCTTTGTGCAACTCGTCTTTAATCGAAAACGGAGTTGGCTTTGCAAACTCTCTCCTGATCTCAGGATGGCGTTCTGAAGGCAGGCAGCGGTCGGAAATACTGGCGTGGTCGAGGGGTGATGGGTGAGGTTGGAGTGCCGTCACGTCGCCCAAAGGCGAAGCTCGTCCCATCAGTGACCAC